TTTAGCTTTTGTTTATCATGAAAGATTTTTATTTCGTTGTCGTACCTGAAGCTTAATTTTGCTGGATACAGAATTCTTGGTTGGCATCCATTGTCTTTCAGTTTTTGAAATACGTTGTTCCAGGATCTTCTCGCTTTCAGCGTCTGTGATGAAAAATCTGTTGTTAACCTTATTGGTTTACCCCTGAATGTAATCTGCCTCCTTTCTCTTGTAGCTTTTAATATTTTCTCTTTGTTCTGTATATTGGATATCTTCATAACAATGTGTCTTGGCATTGGTCTACTCTGATTTTGTGTGCTCGGTGTCCTGTATGCATCTACAATTTGTATATCCGTTTCCTTTTTTATTTCTGGAAAGTTTTCTGTAATTATTTCATTCAGCAGGTTACTCATTCCCTTGGTTTGAATCTCTGTACCTTCCTCTATCCTGATGACTCGTAAGTTTGTTTTTTTTATATTATCCCATATCTCTTGGATGTTTTTCTCGTGATTTTTTACCAGTCTTTCTGAGTTGGCTAGACTCTTTTCAAGATGATATATTTTGTCTTCATTATCTGACGTTCTGGCTTCTACTTGCTCCATTCTGTTAGTCATACTCTCAATTGAGTTTTTAATTTGGTTTATCGTTTTCTTCATTTCTAGAATTATTGTTTGATTTTTTTTTTAATCATCTCTATCTCTTGATAAAGATGCTTAACTTCTTCTTTTATCTGTTTATGTAATTCACTTTCAGTGTGTTCTTTCACTGTTTGGATTTGCTGTCTCGTATCCTCTTTAAGGTTCCATTCCATCTGTCTAAGGTATTCCATGAGATCTTTATATGACCATTTTTCTAATGACTCTAGATCCTCCTGAATATTTAGGCTGTCCTTCATTGTTTGTACTCCTTTTCTTCCTAGATTTTTTATGCTGCTCATGTTACTTCTTGTTCTATTTGACTGCTGAGTTACTGTTTATTCTTATAAATTTATTTGATGCTTGGGAGGAAGTATATTAGAAGGGAAGGGAAGAAGTCACTAAAGAGAATGAGAGTAGGCAGGTAGAATTCAAGGAAGGGGGAATAAGAAAATCGAAAAGAAATAAAAAGACAAAAGAAAAAAGAAAATAAAGAAAGAAAGAAAAAAAATTTTTTTAAATAAAGATAATAAAAAAATGAAAATTAAAATTTAAAGAAATAATACTAATAATAATAAAATAAAAAAATAAAAAAAAATTAAAAACATTAAGAAAAAGTTAAAGAACAACACCAACAAAAAAATGAAAATGAAAGAAAAAGAAAAAAAATAATAATAAATGCAGTCATAGAGTTCGATTAACTTCTCTTCCAGTAGGTGGAGCTGTGCCCACTGGGCCAAGCTTCTCCTCTCAATAGGTGGGAACCATTCACTGTGCAGCAGCTCTTCGTCCCAAACTGGGCGGGTCTCCAATCCTGAGTGCCTAGGGCCTTCTCTTGTGTTTCCTCAAGCCAGGCCCCACTCACCTGTGACGCTTACCACAATACTGGTTACACGCCAGGTCTGCTGCTCCTGGGAGCCCTGTTTTCATGAACGCCTGGGCACACTCTCCCTGTTTGCCTCCCTCAGACCCTAAGTTTGTAGGGCTTGGGGGTGAGAACCCCCAGCAAATTTGCTTGCCCTCCAGTAGCCACGCCCCCGGTAGCTGGTGCAAGAGACCTCAGTTGTCAGCACTGGTGGGAGCGGTAGCCGGGAGTTCTGCGCTGCGAGTCGCGCGCCACTCCTGATTCCCTGGGTCTGGCTATGGAGCTCACAGGAGAGTTGGGAGGGGCTCTTAAGGTTTCCCCGCTGTGTGGAGAGAGATGGCTAGGGGTATTTTGTTTCAGTACACACCCTTCCTGCACCCAGTGCACCCTGACTCTTCTATTTAACCGTCTCCTCCTTTTGGGTGCCCTGACCAAAAACTAAGGATCCTCCTACCCATTAGAAGAGCCTGAGTATAGAGGTAGTCTTAGGGAGGAGGAAAGGAAAAATCCCTGGATAGAGACACTAAGCGAGAAGAAACATGTTCAATTAAACAGGTTTAATCTCAGAGCTGAACAGCAAGTATCTTGGAAAGATATTTATGATAAAGGTAGGTGGGAAACAGGAGAAGAGAGATTCAGAGCAAACCAAACAGAGTCAAGATGGGGACAACTTACGCATTCTAGTTTTTTTCATCATGTCAGACTGTTGTAACTCATTCAATTAACGGGTAGTTATGTGGGCACCTAATAAGTGCCAGGCACTACCATGAAAATGCAACAATAAACAATAATTGCTCATTATAATCTACAACTATAAATGTATTACCTAGTTACAAATTAAGGAGGTTAAAAAATTGCCCTCATAAAGCTTCTAATTTAGTGACAGGGTACTGAAACAGGGCCTCGAATGTGCTAGGCGAGTGCTCTACCGCTGAGTCACAACCCCAGCCCCTTAATCAGAATTCTTAATAAACAAGATTAAGGCCATTGTTACCTCATCCTCCACAACCCCTTGGCAGGCTGTGCCTCTCGCATAATTAATTTAGGACTACAGAAAATCAGACATTGGCCATGAAGGTGTACTAGGAGGGCTCTAGCTGGCCTCAGCACAACACTTGAAAGCATGTAACTTAATTCTCACTTCACTTTGAATCCTTTGCTTCAGTTATGTCCTCATCTTAGAGTCAATTTGTGTCTGTCACTGCTGCCTGGTTGTCTGGGGAGGAATGATCATTTTCTGCTCTGCATAACTGCCTGCAGAAGGGAGCAATGATGATAGTTTCCCAATCCAACTTTTGCATGTTTTCTGTTTCTTTCTCCTTTTGTTCCTTGATCCGCTAACCTAGATCACTGCTTTGTCCCATCCGGATTTTATCATTGAGAGGAGCCAATCAGACCCAGAGACTCAGTGCCATTGTTGGAATCAACTTGCTCTTGTTCTCAGATTTCTACTTTCTGTGCCACCCAGGCACCCTTGTGGACAAGTCAAGTTATTCTTTCCCAGTCCAGTTCCATTATGGGATCAGGCACTTAGGGAAAAACTGGGTAACCCAGTAGCAGAAGTCCTGATTTGGGAGTCAGACAATCTGAGTATAGGACCTTACTTTGCAGTGAATGGTGTCACCGAGCAGTCAGGACTTGACAGATGCTTGGTAGGTGCTTTGTGAAAGTTTATTAGTTGATTGGCTAGGGCTTAATTATCAAATTCTCTGCTCTAGTTTTTTCCCTTGAAATTAGAGATGACTATGTACCTCATTGATATAAAGCTATACTAAAACTAAATTCATTAGTGTAATGAAATTTGTTTCCTGGAAGACAAGACATGGACACATAATATATTAAATACAGCTGATTTGTAAAATGAGTGTATAAGAAGATTTCTCAGGTGCCTTCAACTCCCATCTGTCAGGCTCTGTGAGAGAGGTTGCAGCTGCACTGTAGCAGGGTAAAATTATTTCTGGTTTTATTTGCTGTGTGATACCTTTTTAAAATTCCAGATGTAAGCCAGCTTTGTTCACCAGTGCATTTAGAACATTTTCCTCTCCCTTCTCTATTTGATGTGTAGTTGTTTTTTTACCTATAAATTTTAAATAAATTAGATAATTTTGTCCTCAGAACAATTTTTTTTTTTTTTTTTTTTTTTGGTGAGGAAGCAAGGCCACTATTACATCTGTATTTTGTAGGTGAGGAAAATGGTTTAGATAGGTTATAGTATTTGTTCAAAGTTGCATAACCAGTAAATGGCAATTTGTAAGTATAAAATAAGAAAATATGACCCAAAGAAGTTTGAAGACTCTATCATCCTGATCTGAAATTAGTTAATCAGATATTTATTTAGAGTCTTAAATTGTTTTTGGAACAAGGAGGGTTTTACTGTAATATCATAAATGGATCACCTTAGATTTATAGCACAGTGGAAATAAGAAATGTAATACCAAATCTTTGCCATCAATTAGTTTATCCTTTGATGGTTGAATGTCAACAGTAGACACAGTTTAATGTGGCAGATGATTTCTTATAAGCAGAGATGGATCAAGGGAAATAGGAATCAGAGAATATTGAAGGTCAGGGTCAGGTCCAAATCATGGGCACCAAACTCCAATAAATGTTAATCAGGAAATGATTGACTACGGGCATTTGGTAAGAACAGGGGAGGCACTGGGTCCATCTTTAAAGGTTCTATTTGTTTGGGTAGCTGACTTAGAGTACCTGGTTAATGAATAAAATTTTCTAAGGCTGGAAGTCATTGATTCTCTTGAGGATGAGGCACAAGAAGGTGAAGGGTAAGCTTACCACAGATCAAGGAACTCTGGGTGTCTAGTTAAGCTCACAGGAAAGAGACAGACCAGGATCATAGCTTCGAGACTGCCTCCAGTGGAGCTGGGTGCATCACAAGTCCCCAGCAGTTAGTTCCACAGTTGCTATAACAAGCATTTCAGTGTTTTTGTCCTTCTTCCTTAAAAGGTAGCTGAAATACAATTATCCAACCTCCTATTTTCCTCCCTCTTCTCTAGGGGTTGCTTTTTGCAGCCTGTAGTTTGTGCACAAGCACACTCCCCCACTACCACCACTCATCACAGTAATTCTTAAGTTATCAGAAAAGATTTTTTTGTCTTGATAATATGGAATTGCTAACTTGGTCCTAGGCTGTTGTATGTGCTCTTTTCAAGAAATAGATAAATAAAATGGAAGAAACCCAGTTGAACTAATAATACTTCAAGCTGTTCTTTATAATTCTTTAATTTTATACAAGTCATTTATTTCTGGTCTCCAGGTGATTCCAATTCATGAATATTCATGTTTTCTTGAAGTTTTTACATTTTGAGGTAAAGTTGAATTATCACTAGCATGTTTTTTTCTCAAAGCCATACCTATCCTTTTTGTTCAAATAAAATAGCACACTAATGATGGATTTAGATTAATGGAGTAAATATTATGAATCATATACCCTCTCTACTCTGATGTTTTTTTCTTTTTTCCTGACTCCATGGTTTGTTTTCTTTCTTCCTTCTTTCGTGTAGGCTGTCAGTCCAGTGTAAAGCTGTTGGAGCGAGGGAGCAAAGGTAAAGAATGATGTAATGCACTGGCTGCCCCAAAGCATCTTTTGTTGTGGAATGGTTATTCCAGTCATCTCTCGATGAATCAAATGTGAGGGGCTGCTTTGTGGAAGGAGTCCTTTGCAAGAGCACATCAACGGGAAAGAGAAAGAGACATTCAGTTGGAGGGCTCTTGCTGAAAATGGGTTTAACTCTCCTTTTGCCAGTCACCACCAGCCTGACCTCATACATTTTTAGTACAATGGAGTGGCTGAGCCTTTGAGCACACCACCATTACATCATCGTGGCAAATTAAAGAAGGAGGTGGAAAAAGAAGACTTATTGTTGTCATGGCCCATGAGATGATTGGAACTCAAATTGTTACTGAGAGGTTGGTGGCTCTGCTGGAAAGTGGAACGGAAAAAGTGCTGCTAATTGATAGCCGGCCATTTGTAGAATACAATACATCCCACATTTTGGAAGCCATTAATATCAACTGCTCCAAGCTTATGAAGCGAAGGTTGCAACAGGACAAAGTGTTAATTACAGAACTTATCCAGCATTCAGCGAAACATAAGGTAAAGACTTTCTTTTTTTGCCTTTTTAAAATAAATGGACACACTACTGGGGAATAATTGTTAATTGAAGCTTCTTTTTAAGTGGAGAAAGTAATTTGAAGAAGTTTTGGTTGAATAATTTGCAGTTGAATTGTTAAATTTAAGAATATTTAAACTACACAGAAGAGTTAACTTTCTCTAATTTGGACAGGTGTTATGTTTCCCTATTAATGCTTGCTGAAATTGTTTTCTCAATTTAAACATTTTTGTACTGACTAAAAATTCATTGAAAAGTAAGTTATTCTTTTCAAGTGCTTTAGAAAAAAAGTAGGAACTAATTATTAGAGGTGCTTTTTTATATTTGATAACATTTACTTGTGATATTGGTCAAGACTTAGGGGTATTATGTTTGGGGAAGTTATTCCTGAAATACTGAAATGTCATCAATGTGATAGGGAAGGCTATTTCTTTTCTTCAGGGATAAAAAATGAGCTTAGCTTTTAATTTTAACAAACAGCTGATTTCATGGTTGTGATGTAGGAACGATTTAAAAATATTTCTTTAGGTCAAGGGTTACTATTTTTTATTTTGCATATTATTTGTTTTTTTAACTTTACTATTTTATAGTGTCAAGGATTTAAAACCAAGGAGTTTTGGCACATCTACATAAAAATAGCATCAATTTTTTGCCTTTTAAAAGTTGATTTTTGGGGCGCTGGGATTGTGGCTCAGTGGCAGAGTGCTCACCTAGCACGTATGAGGCTCTGGGTTCGATCCCCAGCACCACATAAAATAAATAAATAAATAAAATAAAGATATTGTGTCCAACTAAGAAATAAATAATTTTTTTTTAATATTTTTTTTTATTTTTATTTTTTTTCAATTTTTTATTGTTGGCTGTTCAAAACATTACATAGTTCTTGATATATCATATTTCACAATTTGATTCAAGTGGGTTATGAGCTCCCATTTTTACCCCATATACAGATTGCAGAATCACATCAGTTACACATCCATTGATTTACATATTGCCATACTAGTGTCTGTTGTGTTCTGCTGCCTTTCCTATCCTCTACTATCCCCCCTCCCCTCCCCTCCCCTCCCCTCTTCTCTCAAAATAAATAATTTTTTAAAAAGTTGAATTTTACAAACATTTAAATCATTTGTGTCCTAACTTTATTTAATATATTGACTGCATCTCATTTTAAAAAAATTATTAATTGAAAACAGAATCATTTATTTGATTCAGCACCGGTAAATGTGAGATCTTATTCTGCCAGGGGTTTATGAGATTGTTTTTCTAGCCTTCTTTCCTAACAAGCCTTCTGTTTGCATTTCAGGTTGACATTGATTGCAGTCAGAAGGTGGTAGTTTATGATCAGAGTTCCCAAGATGTTGCTTCTCTATCATCAGACTGCTTTCTCACTGTACTTCTGGGTAAACTGGAGAAGAGCTTCACCTCTGTTCACCTGCTTGCAGGTAAGGCTATGATAACAATGAAAAGGACTTGGAAATTCATTGAACTGTATGAGTAAACAGTATTTCACAGCTCAAAGTACAACTGTGGTGTATAGAATGATTTATAGCTTTTGATTGTTGTAACAGTTCCACTTAACTTGAATACTGTCATTCTTCCACATTGGGCAATGTACTTTTGAACTAGCTGAAATGCCTTTTTTTAAAAATATTTTTTAGTTATAGGTGGACACAATATCTTTATTCTATCTTATCTTATTTTTTTAATGTGGTGCTGAGGATCGAACCCAGTGTCTCATGCATGCTAGGCGAGCATTCTAACTCTGAGCCACAACCCCAGCCCTGACATGCCTTTTCATTGAGTGTTTAAGTGCCACATAGATCACTGTGCCCATATGGACAGTTCAGAGCCAGTTGCTTCTGTCTGGAGATTTTTTCATTCACCTGTGATATAAGAACAATAATCTACATCTCAGATCTTGTCATTAGTGTCCACCCCTGTGGCAATAGCTAAACCAATATTACTGTGTCAGACTTATTAAAAGTAGATTTTTTTCTTGATAGGGAAATAGGAGAGAATATATACAGAATATATCTTTTAATTATTAGGGGGACTGTTTTAAACCTTTTTTACATCTATATTTTTATTTTGTTTTTATAATTGTCAAAAAATTCAGTAAATGCTAAGCAAGCAGCTATTTTATAAAAAAAACATAGGAAACCAAATATTTTATAATGTCCTGAGGGAGTGCAGTGTGGTAGTTCCATCTCATAGAATTCCAAAGCAGACTGTTCTTTTTCTTGCTTTCCCTGTTCTGTGGACCTTACTGAAGTCCATTCTTTCACTTCACTCACTCATGGAGTGGGAAATAGTTTGCCAATGCATAGTGCCTTGCCATAAAGCTCCTGTCAGGCAAATTCAGCCACAGTGATGGCAGGAGTTTTTGGTGTGTTAACACTTTTTAACGGCAGATTCAAATAAGATTTCTATGTCTCCAGTTGTTTCTCATAAGCGTTTGTTTCGGTTCTCTAAGAACAAGGATAGTTTTTTCAGTTCTCAGATTATCTATAGCTGTACCTTTAATTTATGTTGTGATTCTGTTTAATCTCTGAGTATCCTTAAATGAAGTTTGCTTGTTATAAAATACAGTTTATAGAATTTTGTGATGGAGAATAATAATATTAGATCCTTCCTCTTTCTCTCTTTTTTAGATAGCATTCCTTTATTTTTATGTGGTGCTGAGGATCGAACCCAGTGTCTCACACATCCTAAGCAAGCACTCTCACTCTGTCACAGCCCCAGCCCCAGATCCTGTCCATCTGGACAGGCAATTTTTTTGGTGCTGAGGTTTGAACCCAGGGCGTTGCTCATGCTAAGCATGTGCTTTATGAGCTACCTTCTCAGCCTGATAGAAGCTCTTTTAATGGAGTATAAGTGTGTTAAATGTGACAACTGTTAGTTCCACTAAACCCTTTTGACAAGTTTACGCATTCATTTCATGCTTTTTTAAACACTGTGTGGGATTTTACTTTGGAATTTGTGAGACCAGGGTTTTTCCTAAGGTATTGCCTAAATGTGCTTCGTTCTACCCCATTGGTATCATTATGAGATACCTTTTCCTTATGGGAGGTTCTGACGTGACAGCTTAGCCAGGCAGCACCCTGCAGAGGAGTGAGCTCATGTTGAGTTTCTAGGACAGGTGTCATAACTTCTCATATGCCCTTTACTTCCTTTACCAAAGAGCATTCTTTTATTTTCTGGGACAGTTCTTATCATTCATGTGTAGCTTTGATTGGGCAATAAGGAAGAACAAGGATGTAGTTTGATTTGATTAGTTTAATCAACCCTAAGGACACATGATATGACATGACTGAGCCAGGACACCCTGGTATCCCCATTTAATGCAGGAAATATTTTCTAGGCCTAAACAGATTCACTGAGATAACTTCAAGAACCACATTGACTGTATTGTCAGTCCCATACCCCCATCCACATCTGTGGAATCTTGTATTTCTTTTAGGAGATCATTTCTAGTTCTAAATTACCTTATTTGGGATTTTCTAAGCAGTCTGGTCTCTTTTGGCACCTAAGAGAAGGGTTCTGGATGGTTAAAAGCTTCCCCATCTAGCCGAAAGCCTCTGACCAATGGGAATTCTCTTGGTGAGTCAATCTACTGCTCAGAGTAGATAGAAAAATTGGACAAAATAAAAAACAATGTTTGGGAAGGTGGGACCATCAATTCTTGGGAACCTGTTTTTGTTTTTTGGCCAAGGTCCAACTGCTCAGAGAACATGCCAGGAATGTGAGACACAGGACATATTGATAAAAGTTTCTTAAATGTTTTGCTTGGAGAGAAATATATGAGTGTGGTAAAGCATGCTAGTTTCTCACAGGGGCTACTATAAGTTATAAGGTCACTGGAGATGATTTTCATGTTGAGATGATTTTCATAGGGGCACTATTAACTGCCCCTATGGCTTCAGGCAGTTAGATTTTATCAACCTTGTATCAATATGATAATTGGAAGACAACATGGTTTCTTAGAGTAATTTTTCCATCAATTTAGAACTTTTAGTCACCTTGAAAAGAAGGAATTCATGAGCTATGTGAGATGGCTTTTATGGTCATTAGATATAGAAGTGAAGAGTTTGTGGCCTGAGATCTACTCATGCCCTCAGGGCTTTCTTACTAGTACAGAGAAGGGGAACAAGCAAACTCTCTAAGAAATTGAAAATAGCCTGTTTTTTTTTTAAAAAAAAACATTTTTATTAGTTATTGATGGACCTTTATTTATTTATTTGCTTGTATGTGGTGCTGAGAATCAAACCCAGTGCCTCACACATGCTAGGCAGGCACTCTACCACTTAGCCACAACTCCAGCCTGAAAATAGCCTCTTAGTGACCTCTGTGTCCCTCAAACAAGAGGAGACACAGACTTACCTTCAGGACATAAAAAGTGAAGGCTTACTGAAGGAAAGGTCATGGATACATGAAAGCTCTACTGGAATGCAGTGGGCTTAGTTTCGTATGGAACAGACCTTATTATCTTCATGTAACCCTCAAGGCCTAGCACTTTTGTATGTTTTCAATAAATATTTGACATATAGATTAGCTTATATGCAGATTTTATGAATTTCACAGTATATATATATACACACACATTATATTTGTATATATATATACACACATATATGTGTATATATACATTTCACAGTATATATGTATATCAAGTCATTACATTGTATACCTTAAATAAATACAATATTTTACTTGTGAAACCTCAAGAAAACTTGGGGAGGGGGGACAGATGCTATTTTGCTCATGGGTTGCCACATAATTGCTACCTCTGCTTCTAAGTCTCATTTTGTGTAATGTTGTACAGAGTGGATCATCTTTTCTCCAATTGCTACCTTCCAGTGTGGTAAGCCAGTATATGTCATTTGCCAGCTACCAATGGCTAAGACACAAGGCCCAAGACTGTCCTTTGAAAAAAAAAAAAAAATGGACTGCAGAACTGACTAGTATAGTTCCTTGCTTCTTCATCCTGATGTTTTGCACAAGCCAAACAAAAGTACTCTAGATGACAACAATAACATCAGTCTTCCCTTATCCCCCAATTGTGTTGTGTGTGTTCCAGAGAAATACCAGTTCCCGGCATATTCTGCCTTTTTACTCAGTCTCCTGGTATTTGATGGGTACTTCTACAGTTGGGCTCTAAACTTGGCTTTAGGAAATGGGAATAATAGAAAAGCAAAAGGCTTGCCCCTGCTCTTGAGAGTCTAGTGATTAATTTGAAGAAACAGTCATGGTAAATTGGATGAAATAAAGGGAAACATATGATCTGTGCTAAATTGCATGATATAGTTAGTGATAAGGGATGGTTTAGTGTAGTCTGCAGAAGCTGAGGAAAGCTTGATTAAGGCAATGGAATTTTAATTGAACCAGGAAAGATGAGTAAGATTTTGAGTGGGGAAGGGATCCTTGGCATTCTGAAGCGGGGGAAAGCATGATTAGAAATGTCAGGAATGAACATACATTTGAGGGGGTTCTCCATTAAGAAACCAGAGTAGTTTTTTTGTAAAACGTAGAGAAGAACTGAGACTAATTACTAGATCACCAGATCTTTCCTTTGACTGCTAGGGTCTGAGAAGTCTTCCTCTTCTACCAACTAAGGCCAACATTGTATCTACTCAGACTGCCCTAGGAACTTTTAACTGGTTTTCTCACATCTTCTATGTTGCCACCTTCCAGTTCATTGTTCACACCATGCCAAAGTGATATTTTTACTTTTTATTTTATAGGGCTTTTAAAAAATATATCTTATTGTTTTGTGGTGCTGGGGATTGAATCACAGCCTCAAGCATGCTAGGCAAATGCTGGATCACTGAAGTATTTCCCCAGTCCTATTTTATATTTTTCAAGTATTCCAGTATAATGTGCATTAGTTCTCTTAATTATAAAATCTCCACTAACTCTCAAGGCCCTGCTGATTTCTGCCTACCTCTCTAACTTCCTGTAATGCCACTTTACATTCTCAGTTGTTTCTCTGTTTGAGCTTGTTTGTCCCAACTGCTATAAACTTGCATCAGTGAGCTTTATTGCTCCTCACAGAGGCTCTCTCCTTTGCCGAGGGTTTTCTTCTTCTCTTATCTCTTAGATTTAGTGCAGTTGTTAAGCCTTGCCTAGCTACTAGGCAAAGTTGGTTTCCATTCTCCTTTGGGCACCTATGATAATTAGTTAACTATTCATCTAATGAATTGGTTAAAATTTGTCCCACTAAACTGGGGCCCTTTATCTTGGTCAACACTGTCCTTATTACCTAGAACTGTGTCCAGGTCACAGTAGGTGATCATTAAATGCTTTCTGAACTTACATGTTGAATTTCAGTGGTTTCTAGGGTTTGGTTGACTGAACAGGTATTCCTTTTCTTCCTTTACTGCTCTATGAAATCTTCTCTAAAACTGCAGTTGGCCAAAGAGGAGGACTACTGATGAGTAGAATA